AGCAGGAAAAAGGTGGAACAGTCACTACTGTTGCAAATGGATCATACTTTGTGCCAGACCACATGAAATTCTAAAACTCCTTGCATGCACTATCTGTAACTTCAACCTATGGTGCTTTGTTTTGCACAATATTAAAGAAAATTAATGTCCCCAGGGACCTCAGGGTAATAACAAGGATTCCAGTGTTTATCATCAGACTGCATGACATGACCACAAGTAACAGTCTGCTCCAAAAGATTTGATGTACACCCTGTATATATGCCTTGTAATGCCTGATGTTCTTGCTGTCTCTCTCATCTAGCTGCTTCCCACTGCCTGCCAAAAATTACTAGCTTTATCTCATGCACCAATCCATCTCATTCGCAATTCCCACTGATACTCCACCAAACCCCCAGAAACTGAAACTGCTAAGCTAGCTCAAAGCTTCCTGCACTAGGGCAGTTTGTTCCTTTGTTTCCAATACTAATCCAACAAAATAAACAAATCTCTTACAAATACACAAAAATCAGGGGAACATAAAAATGGAGTGCCAGAGGGGCTTAACTCCTGGACCTGTGATCACCATCAGCAAGAAATGGTCTTAAACAAAGGCCTAAGTAGGTGTACAGACAGTCAAAGCTTGCTCAACAGCCAGCAGCGGTAAAGAATATATACAGTTCTTCTTCAGCTAGTGCTATCTTCAGTTCTGCACTACACTTTCAATACAGTTTGTGAGGCTTCCACTTCCAGCAGCCTTCTGTATTTTTGCTTCAGAAACCAGCAGCAGGTGGTTTTGTCTTCTTAAACCAGTTGCTCAAATCGCATACCATGAACTACCCACCAAAGCACCAACTTGACCCCTCCTGGCTAAAACATGCTGGCGGTCAAAAGCAGATTCCCATATTTTGATCCTGAGCTGCTGGCATGCATGGAAAACATCACCTTCCAGGCCCATTTGCCCCCTGCTCCATAGGGGATGGGGCTGGTTCTGGGCTACACAGCTGCTAACAATTGAGCGACCCTGGTAAAGTGCACTCCCCATCCAGTAAACCCCTCGCTGTAATGTCACTCCTACCCTGAGAATCAGAGGCACCTCAGGAATGCAGAGATTCTTTTCTTTTCTAAAAAGGAAAAAACAGCTCCTTTAATCCTTTGCCCTCTGCACATGCTAGGGGAGAGGCTAAAGGGGCAAAGGAATCTCCTAGAATGCAAACAATTTGTCATCTGGCTCAGAAACTCAGCATTTTAATTCAGCCTCAGGAATATGCTGTATATGTCTTTGTCCTGTTCTGCACTCAGAGAATTTTGTTGAGGTTGCTTGAAGGATTCTCAGCAGCAAGTTGACTGCATCAGCATAGCAGCAAGGGGAATATTAAGGCCAGGATGGTGATAGAAAAGCAAAGCCAAAGGTGATGACTGTAAAACAGAGAAAATCAGCACAAGACAGAGCAAAGTACAATAGAGAGAAGGAAGGATGTGCGAGGGAGCTCAGCAATAATGAGAAACACTTAGGCTGCCGGTGTTAAAAAGGGTACTTTTTAGTATTGTAAAATTTCTGTGAAAAAGGGTACTTTTTAACACTCCTAATCTCCCACCTTTCTCTAAAGCAAAACAGTTTGACGACACTGCAGACACCTGGAGATTCAACATTTCTGTGAAATTGTATTTGTATTAGTAGCACAGCTTGCTGGAGTCTTTAATTAAAGGCAATGAAACAGCCACTTTTGCTGTAGGCCCTTCACTGCAGTGAGGCAAAGCTAGAAGCCTCTCATCTAATCCAGCTATGGGCTTTCATCCCTTCGGTCACCAAAGGGAATTGTACCAGCACCTGTTACATGAATGAGAGGTAACAGAAGCTTTGGTGATGGTAACTGACTCACCAGCTTTTGGAAGAGGTCCCCTACACGTTGCTGGTGACTCCACTGCTGCACTCGGGGGAAGAGCCCATCATAGAATTCTTTGTGGATCTCATAGAGCTCAGGCACTTTGAAGAATATTGTCTCAATCTGCTGACTAGTCAGCACAGGCTGAGAGGTGGTGGCAGCTGCTTTCAAAGGCTTCATAGGCTGAAATGAAGAATGAAGGAAATCGTTATCATGCAAAGCAAGTACGTTTACCCTTGCCCCATTACAGCACGTCCCTCCAGAGAGTTGTTTTTCATCCTATTAATAAGTGATATTTGCATTCATGCAACTCCTGAAAGCTAGACATTAACAAATTCTCTCATGGGGACCAGCCACTCCTGGTATGTGGATTTTCCCAGGATATTAATGGTGTGATTAAAATCCCTTTGCACTCCATTTCCTTAATCTCTGTCCAACTGTACAGCAACATGCCTAATAATTAGCACAGCATAATGAAAGACAGGGCTCCTGGATACTACCACGCTAATATAATAACTCCCTGGTTGTGCTATATCCAGTCTTTTCTTTAAGCCTCTCTTTCTCCACTGGAGGAGTAACAGGTACCCCTTGCACCCAGCAACTTGTAACCCATGGTGTGTGAAGTTCTGGGAAACACTGGGTGGAAGCAGCAGTGAAAATTCAAGTACCAGCGTTTGAAATGGTATCTGTCACCAGTGCTTACCAGCAGCAGAGCCTCCAGGTGGCTCAGGTAGGTTTCCTCACTGGCTAGTATTCCTGACAGGACCCATTTTCTCATCTCCAGGCCTTTCTCCAGGTCTGGTTCACTCTACAAAGAAGTTGTTAAGGAGAAAAAAGAAAAAAAGAAAAAGGAGGGGGGGGAGGAGAGAAAAAAAACAAGAGTGAGGATGGAGAGAGTAAAAGGTATCATTCAGCTGACCACATACTTGTTTTTTTGGTTTACTTTCAGACTAAAAAAATCAACCAAACAAAAAATGCACTTGTGCTTAGTGTCTTGTTTCTAGAAACATACAAATATAAAGCATTAAAGAAATTTTTATTTACCAGCAACTGATGTCACTTAGATTATTTACAGATGTTAGCTTTAGTCATCTAACTTTGGTGCCTCAATTAGGTACCCAGACTTCTTCACAAAATTCAACACACAGAACAAAAATTCAGAATTTATCCTCCATACAGATCTTAGAGATCCTTGCTTGTGTGCAACTCAATCCCTCCTCCCACGAGAGTTCTCTATGATCTTACTCCAAAGCCACATTTCTCTATGCAGACAGGATCACTTCCCCTGCATCTACACAGATGTGCATGAATATACAGCAGTTACAGCAGACATGGCTCTTAAAGGTGGCTGTTCTTTCTCCTACTCTCTACTATTCACTAAATTATTTTTCATCGCCAGCTTGCACAATATCTGTTTTTAGTTAGAGGACAGAATAAGCAGCACTGCTTGGAACACACATGCTGATTTTCTATTGGGATTCCACGAAGGAGTTCTTAACCAAAACAACTGAAGAAAGAGAGAAAAAAAAATACACTAATGGGCAAATGCACACATCAAGGGAAGACTAGCATCAAGTGTAAGAGAAGCAGTAATCCCCTCAGTTGAACTTTCAGCTATCCTTCCTCTCAAAATTGTTACCTGAAAAACGTTTAACCTGATCAATTAAAATTGAATATTTCCACAAACTGTGAAGAAAATGTGTCCAAATAAAGAAGGTTAGAAATAATGAGAAACACCTCCTTTTTACAGAATCTTATTTCCAGTTCTCTTTTTTTATTTCTGTCATTCACAGAAATGGCTTTTTACAATTCTTGCAACCTTTTTATATTGCTAAAGGTCTCTAAGAATAGAGCCAGTAGTTGGATCTGAAAGGGTAGATACCTTTCAAGGGCTTTGGGGAGGTTGTTTGGGGCTCCATCCTACTCCTGTTAATATCCAGAGGAATCTTCAGCTATTAATTTCAGCAGCAGGAGGACTGGCTGAACTTAAAGCCCTTCTATAGCTGACAAAAAAAGTTCCATTTAGTTTAGGGTCCCGTGCTTTGAACCTGCAGAGGTATATATGAGGTTCATTATGGAGAGAGAAGGTATCTTGGCTATAGGTAAGCTTACAGTAACTCTCACATTCTGAGTGTGACTTTGAGCCTATGCACCAGACGAAGAAAGAACCAGATCCTCATGTTCCCAGATATTTCTGGATTCAGTCCCATCGATAACATAACCATCCGGATTTTTGAACACTTTTATTACATTTCACAAGCTATTTTCTATGCTAGAAGACCTTGCAGCAACTACTTAATAAAAATTTTGTGATGTGTCAAATACCACCATCACCTCTTAAATAAAAGTGGCAGACAGAAGCTGTTCTAAAGAAATGAGTAAAATTTACACGCACATCAGGTACTACATGGAAAGAACCTGTCTTTGCACCCCACCCTTCGGTAAGGTTCAGCAAGAACCACAGTGCCAAGATTTTAATCTTGAAAGGGCATCTCAAAGAAGCTAGGAATTTGTAATTCAGCAGTCGTGTTCAGAAGATTTCAGAAAAACACCAGTGACAAACTACATAGTAAAAAGAATGCTGCAACAGATTCTGTGCACCTACAGAGCACCCGTGTGACTGCCTGTTGCAGGTCAGTCAGAAATGTGCAACAACTTTATGACCATTCCTTATGATTTCTGTACCAGTACTGCCTGGATGTCCACCTCATGGACTATTTTTTAAGGCATGGTACATACATGTAATCAAGACAGACAGTCCCAAGATGTTTAACAAAGATTGCCTTCGTCTAAAGAGGCAGGGATGTAGCTGTCTGCATCAGCAGCCCTGATGCAAGAAAAACATAATACCTCTTGGTTTCCAAAGATTTCTTACACCACTTACAAGAGAAAAATGCAGCTTCACAAAGAAACATTGAGGAAAAACTAACAGTGCTGCAAAGTCCCCACTGCTGAGGATGAGGTAACTGGTCAATATTGACACAGCACTATAATTATCTTTAGCAGGTTCTCTTGGAGGAGGTGAGGATTTAAAACCAGCTGGGTATGTTTGTAACATCTGTAAAGAGCAGCACACAATGACAAGTTATTTAAATGATTCAAACTTCCCCATCAACAGTGGCACAACAGTTTTCCTTATAGCACTGAGAACAGTTTTCCTCTTCACAAATAGAAGCTTTAATTTACAAGCCAATTCTTGCTGGGCACCCTCAGCTGAGAGAAGCAGCATTTTCTGCCTGAATGTTAATTTCCTCTTTAAAAGAGATGTGCTTTCAGAGAGACAAACATCTCCCAGGACACACTAGAGTGTGGCCATTTCCTGGCCATTACCACAAGGTCATTTTGCAAAGTCTACAGCATTGTCCTAACACTTTTTAATAGGAGCATTTTCCAAGCGTGATGCTTGTAAAACTCTAGCCTCAGATGCAGATAGAGCTGGGCCTGGCTGCTTTAAGCTACAGTACAGCAGTTGCTGAAGAAACCCTCAAGGGGTTTTATCCAACAATCACATCGCACATTACAAGGTTTCCAATGCAGTACCTCAAATTTACATACAGATTCGTCATATGTGAAAAGATGATCTCCTGCTGTTCCTGCTGTGTCAGGGATCAATACGACACCACGGCGCTGCTGTCTGCATTGTGCTGCCACTCTGTATTTCCGCCTGAGAGCCTGGGAGGCCTTTTCTGACAATGTCATCTGGGGCTGCTCTGAGTAGCAGCTCTTACTGCTGAATGAACGTCTGGAAAACAGCCCCTGCGCTTCTTCAGCCTCAGGGTGCTTCTTAAGTCACATTTGTTATGAAACATTCCAGGACTGAGAAATTCACTGGGAGCTAGTGCCAACATCAGGAAGAAGAGGAGCAAATTTATTATTTGGTATTAAAACATTCCTCACTTGCAGAATTGGGAACAGGCTCATCTGCTCACACAAAACAAGACAGAGCAATTAGCAGGCAGAGACTGCGAGACTGTCCTTCCACTCTCCCCTTGCAGCACACCAAGATGTGATGCACCCAGTGCCAGGGGCTTTTTCTGCTTTGCCCATATCGGACAAAGAAGGGGGGAAAAAAAAAGACCAACGCTGTGACCACAACAGCCTGATTGCCATTTCTGCACTCCAGGCAGAAGGGCAGTTAAGAGAAGGAACGTCCTGGGCATAGGTATCAAGCTCCCCACCGGTTTAGGGAGACCCGCCAAGGCTGAGGACTCCTTTCCCCTGCCCTGGCAGTCAGAAATCTTTGAGCTGCTTGTGGCAAGGGGAGGAGCTGGTTCTACATCTACCAGACCATATTAGCTAGGGGAAAATACACCTATTAACCAAAAGTGCAGATGGGATGTTCCCAGCAGGATGTGGGAACAGCCCGTATTGGCAAACTCTAACCACTCAGCAGGGAGTGCCAGGTGGTCAGCAGTCCATCCCATGCTTACTACCCAGCTTGGTTAGCCCATTTCTTACTTGTACAAGTCTGACAAGTATTTCATGTTCTGACTCTGTCTCTGACCTCTTTGATGCTAGCATCCATTTCTAGCCTTTCTCCATTTCTCTCTACCCACAATGTTTCAAAATAAATGTATCTTATCATGGGGCAGCAGCCAGAACATTCCTGTCTGTCTACCATGGGAGCTGTGAGGACCCAACACCCGGCCAGTTCTGAACAAGAAAGCAAGAAATCAGTGCTCTGCTCCCACTCCTCATGAACTACATTTTAAAAAAAGAAAACAAAAAGGAAGATGGAAAGCAGTATAAAGGAAGTTTCACAGGTATCTCATGCCTATGAGATTCTCGTGTTTTCTTCTCAACTGGGTGATGCTTCTTGCTATTCCAAAGACTTAAAAACCAAAAGACTGAGTCACAGTGATGAGTGCAATCTTGCGACCTGAACAAAGGCCAGTAAGAGTGGTTAGAAGCACTGAAGATACTAGAGAGTGTGCATACACTGGCCCCAAGCCACGGCTGTTTTGAATGTGTTTACAGCTTGTCAGCCTAAGTACTTTAGTTTACTAACCAGCTTGGCATTACATGTTGTATTCAATTACTGCAAGCCTGAGATTCACCAGCTCCAAGGATTAGACAGATTCAGCTCTTCCCAACTTTGCTTAAAGAACTTGGGGCTTTCTGGTTGTTGCTTAAATTAACAGCAATAATTGTTTTCTTGCATATGTTAGAAGAACACAGATTAAGAATCTAGAAACCACAACACATAAAATTTTGCAAAGTGGTTGCTGCTGGCACAGCTCTGCAAAGAGAATCGGTGATTCAAAGTGGGCATATAAAAAGCACTTTAACTCTCAGACCTTTCTTTGGTACAGTGTGTTCATATGCTGTGCAATGAACGTGTTCAAATCAGAGGTTTCCCGTAAGGGCAGCTCAGAATCTCACAGAGAAGCTGACAGCCTACGAAAGAGAAAACATATTCACTTCAATTTTTAAAGTGTAAATACCTTTGAAAGCATCTGCTAAACAGGCAGGAGGTATCTCATTGTCTTGGTGATATAAAACAGGGCAAATTCTCTAATCAAGCCAATCATGCTCCATGCAGGGAGGGGAAGGAGCAGGGAGAGGAGCCAGCATTATTTATAACATCAGTACTGGTGTGCCAGTTCCCCTCAAGAACGGCTGTAAATCCAAGCAGAGCCCTTAAGGAGCAAAGAGTTAGAGAATAAAAAGGAAAAATTACATCTGTTGGGGGTGGTGAAGGGAAAGTGACAGTAAAACAAAACAAACAAATCCAAATATTGAGAGGAAGAACGGAGAGGATTTGGAAATGCTGGAAAGGGAAGGACAAGCTAGCAATAGTACCAAGCA